GGAGAAATACTGAGCGGAAGAAGACTACTGATTGGCTCTGCCATAATTTCCCAAAAAAATTTCAAGAATGAGAATTTTATCATTTGAGTGGATTTTTGCAAGTTTGCTATGCGAAGTGTGAATGGGGTGAGTTTTAACTAATATTGATCAAAACGGTCGATAAAAAAAATTATATGAAGGTGAGTGAGTTTTAGTCAATTGTGTGAAGAAACAGATATGTTGGGCTGGATTCTAGCTTCTTTCTTTGGTGATTACAACCCACGTTACCCAAATATTTATGTGCATCTTGCAACATAAAAATCCTCAAGTGAACAGTGTAATGATCAGGGCTTGTATTATGTGATGCCTCCAGGTATTAGTAGTTTGTTTTTTTTTTTTCCCAACCTTACAATTCTAATTTTCCACTTAATCCCTATCCACAAGGGAAGTACTGTAGATGGCAAGCAAGAAAGACAACACTGATATATCAGCTGTACCCTGGATTGTGATGCTCTTTTTTCGGGTAAGTATTGTGATGCTCTTACAGACAAGACCAGCCTGCAAATCTATGAGAACCCCTGTGCTGGTTTTGCAGCAACCACCATGATGTTAAAGTTAAGGCAGTTGCACTTTCAGACGCCAATAGGTCAGGCTCTGTGATATCCTTTGTAGTGATTTGTATTAAATTGCAGAAACTATAGGTACCAAAAAGAATACAGGGAATACCTCAATAATCAGCTGCTCACCATCCTAGCTAGCAGTTAGTAATTGCTGCCAATAAAATCGCCTGATATGTGCTAGGAAATATTAAATTGTTCATATGAGGTTATCAGGATGATAATACTACTGAAATAAGTTATGAAATATAAAATCAAGGTTATCAAAATCAAATATGACTGGAGATTGTATGCCAAGGAATAAAATAAATATATTCCACGCACATTCTTCTTTTATTGCTTATAACTGTCTTAATAAAGCAATGAACCACAGAAAGTCTGGAGAAAGAGAACAAATGGAATGGATCAACAGCAGCAAACCATTCTCAGTGTTATGGCTTGTATGTACTATGGAAAACGATTCACAACCAAGGGTAGTTTGTCATTCCTCTCCATTCCTTCTTTATTTTTTCCATGGCTTCAAAATAGAGAGTACGATTATGATTGCAATGACCAAGAGTAAGGAAATGGCTATCATCATACATTTTCTTGACTTCTTCTGCAAGCTCTTTGCAGTCTGGAGAGCATCGGTGCCCATATGCACGTGATCCACTGCATTTATCACCTATGATCAAAGGTCAAGAAATAACTTAGTTGCCAAATAATCACAAAAATAAATTTTAGATTAAAGCCAGTCATGGTAATGCAATATATGCAGGACTACATAATCAATTCTCTGTAGGATGCTATGCATCAGTCAAATGTGTGTTCAGATAAGTAATTCCTGTCCAATTATGACATCCATGAAATAGACAAATGATGCTCGAAGATGTTCACCGCTCTCTCTCTCTATATATATGTACACACTCACATGTATGTGTGTGTGTGTGTGTGTGAGTTAATACATCTCTATATCTATCTCTGTGTGTTTCGCTGTTTATGAATCTCTCTTATCTGTTTGTGTGTGTGAGTGTGGGTCTTTATGGATCTCTCTTATCTGTCTGTGTGGGTGTGAAAATATAAGAGCTGCATGTTTTAGAAAATTTTCTACTGAGTTTTTTGTGTGCATAGCAATGGATCTAGTTTTCTTCCACAGAGAAGGGGAAGGGAGTTATTATGTAGCCGCTTGTTCCTTGGAATACTTGCCTAATATGGATTAATTTACAAGTCAACCGAGATCAAGAGGAACTCCATCTACTGCTCCATATGGAAGTGAATTTCATTTTATTGACAGGATATCTCTTGATCTTCGACTGGCTTGAAATTCAACCAGTACAATGATCAGCAGAGGAATAAGCATTTAAAAGGTGAATTTTGGATGTATCAGTGAGAGGGTTTAAGACTTCTCAATCTTACATCGAGTGTAAAAGGGTTCCTCCCTATGTGCAATTAACAGTTGTTAGTGTTGATGTAATACTTTTCTGAAGCCCAAATGGAGCATTGGTCTAATTTGTATATCTTACATCTCTTAACATGCTAGTCGGCTTGTGTAAAAGAAGTATTCATGAAAACGGGTAACTTTCAGAGATGGTGGCTCCATTTTAAGCCTTTGACAGTCAGACCTAGCTGCAGTTAATGGGCAGCTGACCCAACCAATAGGGGCTCAGTGTGGGACCTATGATTGATCGATGGCAGTGGTTTCATCTGGAAAGGCTCTGAACCAGGCTCAAATAAAAAAGTTCATCTTTATTGGTCTTCTGTTAACTCTAGTCTATCTCTCGGCCTTCGAATCTCTTTGCTCCACTAAACATTGTTTTAGTAAAGCTTCCCTTCCACAAAGAAAGAAAGACCGCCTTCCTTCCAGGATTGTTGTTCATAAAGGGGTTCTCAGGGCACGCCGGCATCTTGCCCAGATTGGGAAGTAGAGGGGAGGGGTTTTTTTTGAGTTATCACATCAAACAAGAGCAAGTGCATTTCAAAAGGTGGAAAATTGAAGATTACAAATTTGTGTCTTTTAATTCTTCTCCTATATTATATTGCATCACCAAATGCGATGCATTTCCGTGGCATTGCCCCCATCTCCTTACCTGGATTCATCCCTCTGCTTGTATCTAGCCTTGTTTGGACCTCCACCTCTTTTGAGTTTTCACCCCTTGAGTTACGCTCTTTGTCTCGTCTATCTAAGGTTGACGGGTGCCTCACATCTTTTGTTTGCAAGTGATACTCTTCGCCCTATGATGAGGTGTAGTTCTATTTTGCTTGGACTGCTCTTTAGTTTTTGGCCTCTATTCTGGTTCTTGGCCATAGCACTTATCTTGCGTGCACAAGTTCTCCTAGCTCTATTCATGGATCCATTCTGAGAGTCAAAATGACACTATTCTTAAAGTGATAGCTCTTACTCATTTAGGTACCTTCTAAGCTGGCAGCCTGGCGCTCGACCCTTAGGGAGTCTTTTGCTCAAGTTTTTTCTCTTGAAAACTGCTTCCACCCAACATATACATGGACATTTGTGCCATAAGGCCCAAGATGAGATAAAACAGCGAGGACAACTCTTTGTCTTCTTCGTGAGCTGAATTGAGTCTATCCATCGAGGAAAAATTGCTTTCTTCCCTTTTATACTTTTGACTTGCTAGACTGCACACTTGGACCTTAGCTTAAACATACGAGACCCAGATTAATATAATCTCCACACAGATGATTTACTATTAATAAAGGGTGAGGAGTTTTGTGTCCTCTCCCTTTATGGATAATTAATTTGTAACCTATTACTATAAGCGAGTTAAATCTATAGTTACTTTTCTAAGTAGAAACTTTCTACTATCCCATGACTTTCTATCTCTATCACATTTTTTCCCTAGCCATCACTCTCACATATTCATCTCACCGCTCTTTACCTCTTACACACATCCATGAAGAACACAGTTACATATATATTACACGCATTAAATGTCAGATGCATCGAGAGTTTGCACTCGCATCATGTCTTCCACAGAAATTAGTAATAAAAAAAAGGGTGAAATTAGTAATAAAAAAAAAGGGTAGAGGGTCTTTTAGCATCTACTCCACTTAAAATATTAGTCATACCGATGCTTTCTTTCTTCCTTTGGCACTTACGACTCTTTTTCCAACCTCATTTATTAATTCAACAATGTTAGTAAGACTTAATTTATTGACTTAATTTGTTAACCTAATTCATTATAATCTTTAGATTAGTTATAAGTCTTATCAAATAATAGATTTTTGCATTGATCTAATAGTTTTATTGAAGTCATATCATTATATTAACAAATTAAATCAAATATATTAGTTCAAATAGGATTACTCATAGTAATTGTAAGTATAAGTTTGCTTCTCTTGATATTTTCTCACTCATATCTCTCTCCCTAGTCTTATCTCCCTCGCAACACGTGCAATACTCTCTATTAGACTTCCAAGTACTGGGTGCACAACATATATAGGACATCAAGCACCAAACAATACAATAAGAACAATTTACAATTCAACCCCATCAGCAATAAGCATTCCATAAATGAAAGGCTTCTAATTGATGCTAAAATAGACATTTTGTTTCTTTTTCCTGTTTTTTTTTTTTCTTTTCATTTTGAATATTCGCTACCTTTATATAAAGTCCGTTTCAAAAACTACTTTATCACATTTGTGTTATTCTTCCTAAAGACTTGTCCCAATTTTTCTAATTCCTGAATCCGTCCCTGACCACTATAGTTGAAATAATAAAATGGAAGTTCACTATATAAGAATAATAGCTCATACCTTATATCGTTCTTGTCGACCCACGAAGACCCAAAGCACGCAAGGGCACGAAGGGTTCAAATGCATAAAGCAGATTAGGAGATTGTCAAATCATGATAATTGATTATAGACTAACCAATACCGGGACGAAGATCAGACAGAAAACAAAAAGAAAAGAATAGAAAAGAAAAGTGCAACCGAAAGAGAGAGAGTGGTAAATAAACGAAAAAAGTAAACAGGAGGTAATCAAGAGTGAAGGAAACAAAAAAACAGTATATATAGGATAGCAAACAAAGAAGCAAACTGTTTATAGGATTCCCATCATTTGAAGTCTCCAGCCAAGGAGACAAGGGTGAGGCGCGGAACATGTTCTATTGTATGCCTCCAAATACCAAACTAGGCAAAAAATGATGTAGCAAATCAAAATAAGAGACTGAACGTAGAAACTCTTTCATTAGTGAAAGCAACTATGTTTTAAATCTCCAACTCTCAATCCTTCTACACCAGCATCATTAGAAAACCAAACTATACACCAAAAATGTTTTTTTTTTTTTTAAAAAAAAAATCAATGAGAAAGCCACACCAACTCACACAGCCAAAGAAAGCGTTAGCCAGGACTACCAGTACAGAGACTAGAACACAAACAAGTGACTAAAAGATACAAAATCAAGCACCCTAGCCACTCTTCCAAGGATGAAGGACACCAACCACTATAATAGCCACTATTATTAAGAGAATAATCATGGCAATGCACATGCATTTCCTAGAGCTCTTCTGAAGTTTCTTTGCGGTCTGAAGTGCAGTTGTCCCAGATTGGACATGATCGACTGCATTCGAAACCTGAACAAGATACCAATTAACAAGAGAGGGCAAAACACATTGTTTTGCAGCAACTAAGGGGTACAGAGACAAAAATGATGTAACTTGTAAGATTAGAAGCAAACCTGGCTTTCAATGTTATCTAACAGATCTCCTTGAGCCTCAACTAGGACTGCCATATCCAGGTAAATCTGAAAATATAACACAAAATCATGTTAAACAAGCAGTTCAGCAAAAAATGTGAGCTAAAGTCCATGATGATAAGTGCAAATATACCTGATGCAGGTCAAGAAGCTTTTTCTCAATTTCCTTCACTGCGTCATGTCTCTCNCAAAAACTACTTTATCACATTTGTGTTATTCTTCCTAAAGACTTGTCCCAATTTTTCTAATTCCTGAATCCGTCCCTGACCACTATAGTTGAAATAATAAAATGGAAGTTCACTATATAAGAATAATAGCTCATACCTTATATCGTTCTTGTCGACCCACGAAGACCCAAAGCACGCAAGGGCACGAAGGGTTCAAATGCATAAAGCAGATTAGGAGATTGTCAAATCATGATAATTGATTATAGACTAACCAATACCGGGACGAAGATCAGACAGAAAACAAAAAGAAAAGAATAGAAAAGAAAAGTGCAACCGAAAGAGAGAGAGTGGTAAATAAACGAAAAAAGTAAACAGGAGGTAATCAAGAGTGAAGGAAACAAAAAAACAGTATATATAGGATAGCAAACAAAGAAGCAAACTGTTTATAGGATTCCCATCATTTGAAGTCTCCAGCCAAGGAGACAAGGGTGAGGCGCGGAACATGTTCTATTGTATGCCTCCAAATACCAAACTAGGCAAAAAATGATGTAGCAAATCAAAATAAGAGACTGAACGTAGAAACTCTTTCATTAGTGAAAGCAACTATGTTTTAAATCTCCAACTCTCAATCCTTCTACACCAGCATCATTAGAAAACCAAACTATACACCAAAAATGTTTTTTTTTTTTTTAAAAAAAAAATCAATGAGAAAGCCACACCAACTCACACAGCCAAAGAAAGCGTTAGCCAGGACTACCAGTACAGAGACTAGAACACAAACAAGTGACTAAAAGATACAAAATCAAGCACCCTAGCCACTCTTCCAAGGATGAAGGACACCAACCACTATAATAGCCACTATTATTAAGAGAATAATCATGGCAATGCACATGCATTTCCTAGAGCTCTTCTGAAGTTTCTTTGCGGTCTGAAGTGCAGTTGTCCCAGATTGGACATGATCGACTGCATTCGAAACCTGAACAAGATACCAATTAACAAGAGAGGGCAAAACACATTGTTTTGCAGCAACTAAGGGGTACAGAGACAAAAATGATGTAACTTGTAAGATTAGAAGCAAACCTGGCTTTCAATGTTATCTAACAGATCTCCTTGAGCCTCAACTAGGACTGCCATATCCAGGTAAATCTGAAAATATAACACAAAATCATGTTAAACAAGCAGTTCAGCAAAAAATGTGAGCTAAAGTCCATGATGATAAGTGCAAATATACCTGATGCAGGTCAAGAAGCTTTTTCTCAATTTCCTTCACTGCGTCATGTCTCTCCTGAATTTCTTCTAGGGTATTTAGCACCTGAAACCCGGCCCCTCCCACAGTAAGACCCGAGTAATTGAAAGAAACATAAAACATAACAAAAAGAAACAAAACGGTCCTGAATTTCTGATGGAGGAAAGGCCACAGAATAAAAAGAAAACGAAATCTACGAAACTGAGGTCCAAAAGATGGAAAACTATTATCTCCCAAATAACCTTTATTTCCACTCTCTTCAAGTATCACTAAACTTAAGACCAAAAAAACAGTACCACAAAACTTTGATGCAGATTCAAAACTAAACTACTAAAAAGAAATAACCTGTAGTTGCATATTTACAAAAACAACTGCTCCATACATGGAGGTAAGGCTACATATGTCTAAGCCTCCCTAAACCCTCAAGTGGTAGGAGCCTTCTGCATTGGGCTACCCATGTAGCTGCATATTTGCAAAATTTTGAGATTCCAAATGAAGAGAAAGATTGCCTCTCATTTCTTTCTTTACAAATTATAATTATCTCTTTTAAAAAGGGTAAGGAGATGAAAGTTCTAAGCAAAATTAGCAACCTTCATTACGTGATCATGAATGGATAATTCAGTTCTAGAAGGACAAATTGTTACAATAGGAAGCTAGAATAACAAAATCTTTTCCTGTCTGAAAACAACGGAAGATTCAAGTATACTATTCAAGATATTAAACATGCTAAAGCAAGGGCTAATTATGTTAAAAAATAAGACCTAGTAGACAGGCACTTGTGGGTCTCCAAACTTTAACTTTCTTAAAAGTTGTTAACCTAAGAATTCGTTTAACAACTTATCTTAGCAACAAATCCACACACATCCATACTAGAATGGATTGTAACTACCTTGGTTCCACACAAATATGAATTTCATGAAGCTGTAAACATGAGTTGTGCATGCTTGGTGTGCATTATCATTTTTCTACAATTAATATTTGCTAACCTCTGCTCAAGATGATTTGTAGACATTCTTTGAACCATCGTGACTTTAACAATCCCACATACAAACAATGAAAGCAAACACAGTTTCTAGCCAAAAAAACCTAAAATTTTCTATCTAGACCACAAAATCTTGTATTCACAAAAATATAACCTGCAAAAAAATCTACTTGATCTAGACTTGATGAATTGTGACTTGTGAATAATGTATTACCATTCACATAAACAACATCACGAGCATTCCAAGTCATAGATCATTCTCAAAGGAGATAGAAGACAAACATCTATGGATTTTTTCCTTGGAAAAGTCAATTATTGTAATTAAGTCACAAGCTATATACCTATCCGTAGGAGGATCAAATCATCTTTTGATGTTGTTATTCCTTTTTTCTTTTTTTGACAAGAAGGGTAAAAACAATATGAAATTTTAGGTCCAAGGCTAAACAAATGAAAATTACCCTAAACAACATGCCCAGTAAAAAGGCCACAACTTTCTCACCAGCCGGAAAATTTCAAAATTGAAGTGATACAGCTCTAAAAAAAATGCTATATAATACAGAAGCAATACCTGTCCTCGTCCTGTCTCCTGAATAGCCTTCTGAAAAATTTGTTCACTGTTTCCAGTTTCTATCAGATGGTTGATTGTCTGATACAGTAATCAAATGTGGGCCAGTTGCAATATCACATATCAATTAACTCAAATGTTAAGTTAAGAATTAAGGCTAACCTCTTCATCTGGTCTGGTTCCTGTGACTGCTCAAGCATGAATTTGAACCACAAGCCACAGCGGACAAACAAAATAATCAACCATTGATGGAAATAAAATTATTACTCAAAAATTATGATTTTGTAATGAGCTCTCTTATTTCTGTCAGTGTGCAGGATTAAAAGTTCCAACCTGTAATTACCCTTCTTTCCACAACCTCACGGTATTCATCGTCAATTTGTTGTCTTAGAGTCTGACACAATGTAGATTGATGAGAAGATGAAAGAGATGTAACTGCCCATACAACCAGGAATGTAGTAGGCATACCTGAAACTCTGTCATCAGATCTTTGAACTTCTTTGTCAATGCACTGAAATTCAGGGAAATAATAATTACTTTTGATCTTAAAATAAGAACAACACTGTTGAAGTAATATGAAATTGAGGTTCAAATTTTAAATGTGCAGCACACTTGGTCATGTTCGTCCTCGATCGGTCTACACCTGTCCCCTTCCCACATCCAGGCTTCTGTCGATTGGCTAAATTCTAGAGAGGTAAATGGAATCAGTTTACACTACCATAACATGCTCACAGGTATCACAGAACATACTGGTAGGGATCCGAAACAAATGAAGAGAGTATTACGTCTTTGTTTATTCCTTCTAGTTTTGCTTTCACATTTCGTGCTATCTTTCCCACTTCATCAACATCTTTCTCCATCCGCCTTCGGATTGCTAGAGACGAGTAAACAGCATTCTAAATCATTTAAAGGTTTGAACCATAGTAGAAATGAGCAATTTGCGTAGTAAACCTAGAACTTCTCTCAAATCTCAACCAGTTAATGTGGAAGCTCAAAAAGTTAAATCTGATTAGTCATGCAACTGATTGACACCAAAATCCAAGCTGGCTTGTGTTCAGCCATGTGACTAGCTTATAGCTAATCTATTTTGAAGTATAACTGGGTGATAGTCCATATGGATATTTTTTACCTTTCATGTCTGATGCTTTTGTAACAGATTTTGACTCCTCATTAGCATCCTGAATAAAAATACTCATGATTTCAGTCTCAACAGCCAAATTAAGAGTACCATCAAATAAGCAACAAAATGTAGTACCCATTATTTAGTTAGAACCATGAATAAGTGGTAAACCCCATTCAGACGTCAGTTTAGGCAAACAGTACATGAAAGAGGGTGGCTTTTTATTTCTACTACAGCTTTATAATAATTATGGAAAAATTACAGTTTGCTAACATTTAGCAGGCGTACTCAACCCAACTCAACTCATCTCATCTCATCTCAATTCAACAAAGCCTTTACCAAACTATTTGGGGAACATTTAGCTCTATGTAAAAGCTACCAAAAACACCCTTACATCAGGACATTTAAGAGTAGTCCAATAGTCATCTAGGACAGAAATCATTCTTGATCTTGTTATTCTTAACCTGAGTCATATATTTGCCTTAAAAAGAGTGATGGTTGATGAGGTTTTTGAATTACATATTTCACCTCATTGTCAAAGATTGATAGTTATGCATAACAATTGGGCCATCTAAAGTAAATAATGACATCGTGGAGCTCGTACAAAAACTAATAGTGAAGATAAACTCACTGTTTTGCAAGTTGGGAACACTTGCTAGTTGCAACAAGCTCTTTTGCGTGGAGATGAACACAAATCCCATAGAACTACCACCTCTATGGAGTTGGTGAACTTTCATACTTGTCACAAGTAGGAATCGTATACCAGTAGAATGAGAGTCAATTATGACCGAGGATTTGAAACTTCTGTTAATGGTCATGTGAGCCATTTTAGTTCTTGTTGTCTACCTTTCGGATGTCCTCAATTAATGACACACACATGCTTTATACTGCCAATTGTAATTCTACAATTGTCCAAGCAATGGATGATCATTTCTAATAAAATCCTAAAAGGATAATTTTCTTGAAGTTCAGGATACTTTTCTTGTAGTGATATTTCAAGCTAATAGGTACCACTGTACAGTTTTTAGAAGTTAGGAGTTATAGATTACTCAGAATATTTGGTTGAGTTTATCATAAGGTCCAGGGTACTGTAGTAAGTAAAGTAAATTCATTTTTTTGAGGGATGCGTCAGTAAATTCATTTTCTAATTGTAAATTTTGATATTAATCTATGACTGTAGGAAGTTGAAACTCTATAGCAAAAAATGTTTCTCTTATTGTGTCCTAATCTATTATCTTTGCTATATTATTCTGCTTGATATTACTTTCCTTCTGTTATTTATGTTCTTATTCACAGAATCAAGTATCCTCTACCCTGTGTCCTATATGACATTCGTGTAGCTTCATCTACATATAGTCCAACAAAATGGAAGTTCAGAGTGTGACAAATTGGTCATGCATACATCTTGATTGGCATAGGACAAATTTAATGCTGGGACTCCTTCTTGAACACCAATAACCAAACAGCAACATAGCATGAAACTTGGATTAATTTACACTCTATGAAGTGTAAGTAAACTAGGGGCCTCTTGTGACCAAAAAAAAAAAACTAGGGGTCTCTTTGATTCTTAACCCCCTCTTCCTCCTTTCTGCTGGAATGGCCAAAAATTGTTTTTAGGGGGCGGGAGAGAACTATACATGTCTCTGTTAACTAATCTACTTATATACATGTATTCTGGAAAAAGATATATCTCATTGCATAGTGAAGCAAGGATGGAATCATCAAACACCTGCAACAATTTGGAATCCTTCTTCTTAAAGAACCTTTACAAAGGATATGCCATGTTTCCCAAAAAAAAACCCAACAACTTTTCTGAGTAATCCATAAACAGATGATTGAGAAAATTGCAAGAATTGATTATTGTTCGCATCATGCGGAAAACAAGAGCAGCATGTACTGAAATAGTGCCCAAAGTAAACAACTGTACTCGAAGATTTAAAAAAAGGGAAAGACTCATATATATGGATTATCTTCCACTGCAATCAAAATATACATAAGATAATACTTACTAGTTAACGCCGATCCTAATTATAGATACAGATCCACAAAGTTGCTTCTAGTTTTCTTGATGCAACATTATAAGTAAAAAGCCTATGATCGACACTATTCATACCTTAAGTTTTTTAAGCAACTCAAAAAGCTTATCCACATGCTTCTCAACTTCTTGTATCTACATCACAATGAAAGAACAGAAGAGTGATTANGTTTTTAGAAGTTAGGAGTTATAGATTACTCAGAATATTTGGTTGAGTTTATCATAAGGTCCAGGGTACTGTAGTAAGTAAAGTAAATTCATTTTTTTGAGGGATGCGTCAGTAAATTCATTTTCTAATTGTAAATTTTGATATTAATCTATGACTGTAGGAAGTTGAAACTCTATAGCAAAAAATGTTTCTCTTATTGTGTCCTAATCTATTATCTTTGCTATATTATTCTGCTTGATATTACTTTCCTTCTGTTATTTATGTTCTTATTCACAGAATCAAGTATCCTCTACCCTGTGTCCTATATGACATTCGTGTAGCTTCATCTACATATAGTCCAACAAAATGGAAGTTCAGAGTGTGACAAATTGGTCATGCATACATCTTGATTGGCATAGGACAAATTTAATGCTGGGACTCCTTCTTGAACACCAATAACCAAACAGCAACATAGCATGAAACTTGGATTAATTTACACTCTATGAAGTGTAAGTAAACTAGGGGCCTCTTGTGACCAAAAAAAAAAAACTAGGGGTCTCTTTGATTCTTAACCCCCTCTTCCTCCTTTCTGCTGGAATGGCCAAAAATTGTTTTTAGGGGGCGGGAGAGAACTATACATGTCTCTGTTAACTAATCTACTTATATACATGTATTCTGGAAAAAGATATATCTCATTGCATAGTGAAGCAAGGATGGAATCATCAAACACCTGCAACAATTTGGAATCCTTCTTCTTAAAGAACCTTTACAAAGGATATGCCATGTTTCCCAAAAAAAAACCCAACAACTTTTCTGAGTAATCCATAAACAGATGATTGAGAAAATTGCAAGAATTGATTATTGTTCGCATCATGCGGAAAACAAGAGCAGCATGTACTGAAATAGTGCCCAAAGTAAACAACTGTACTCGAAGATTTAAAAAAAGGGAAAGACTCATATATATGGATTATCTTCCACTGCAATCAAAATATACATAAGATAATACTTACTAGTTAACGCCGATCCTAATTATAGATACAGATCCACAAAGTTGCTTCTAGTTTTCTTGATGCAACATTATAAGTAAAAAGCCTATGATCGACACTATTCATACCTTAAGTTTTTTAAGCAACTCAAAAAGCTTATCCACATGCTTCTCAACTTCTTGTATCTACATCACAATGAAAGAACAGAAGAGTGATTAAGCAAATGAGAGAAAATAATAAATGAAAAATATTGTACAGGAGCAGATGCCCTAAAGGCTTGCATTAAATGTCCACAACAGTACTACAAAAGATTTTTGCAACTCAAATAACTTGGAAGGACGTACCTGCTTGTTAAAAGCTTCCATTCCCAAATCCGAGTTACTCCTTGGAACCCGGGTGCCCATTTCAATATCCGGTCCTCTTGAAGGATGTTCTTTAGCATCACTGACAAATGAATCCTGAAATGGTACACAATTACACGACTTATAATTTTTTGCACTATGAGCTCGAAAAACCAAACAAACTTATCTTGAAAAGGATAGTTGAATTACCATGAGAAAACTAAGAAACATAGAGTATTCACATTAACCTACAGAATTCTATTTATCGCAGCATATAGAGATGTCCTGAGAGAAAAACACTAAAGAAGCAAAACAAATGGGACAAGCTGAAGTCTTATTTCTGCAATATTTAGTATTTTGGAATTATTTATAAGAAGAATGTAATACAAGTAGGCCTAAGAACATCTCCAGCCCTTAGTCAACTTAGACTGAAATCTAAACCTAGGTTAAAAAAGGCAAAAAACAAAAAGTAAGCTTCAATATTTTACTCAAATGCAGATCAAGAAGAACCAAACCTTGACTCAGATCAAAAGAGCATCAAATTTTTACCTAAAATCCTAATGGTTATATTTTAGCCCTTTTTTGACCAAAAAAAATAAAAATTAGCCCTTTCATAACCATCGTCACTCATGGTACTTTTTGTGCTCCTCTACAATGAGATGCTTTATCAGCCTTACACTTTATGTCAATCTTCATGAACTCACTTCAGCCTCCATGATGCAGATATGGTTGCCCGCTTGCTCACCCATCTTCCTTGTTTTCTAAGTGCCATTTGGTGCTATTAGGAGTTCGCACGAATGCTGGCTTCAGTTCGTTTGAAAGTGCTAAAAGAGAGATTTCTAGAGTCCGTTGATTAGTGAGCAGTAAAGCTGGACATGACACCACTTTGGTGATGCACAATGTTGGTAGGATGAGTGCAAAACCTTTGACACCCAGAAAATGATTTGTGGAGAAACAATAACATTACAATAATCAAGATAAGAACGACAAAGTCCTGCCAGGAACTCTTTTGTGAAATCAAAATCTATTGACAAGGCTTCCATTTTATTTTCTATGTGACTGGTGCTTGGTCCCCAAAGCAATGTCACAGGTATATTCAAGACTCCTTCTGGCCCACCGCCTCAGGTTTTATCCCATCATGGCAAATCATTAAATGCACATGTGCTAATTTTTGCCTCTTTTGACATTTTCAGAAACAGGTTACCACTTGATGGAGTACATATTGTGATCTTGGGAGATTATAGCAATGTTTAAAATGATTTGAGGAAAAATTTGAAGGTGTCTTTGGATCAAATCAAGCTTCTTTACTCATCTATGATTAAAAGTTCAAGTCATGAATGGAGATGATCTTACTAAAAGCAGACTCAGTTATGGAAACACGAATTAAGATTAAAACAAAAGACACAATTCCTGCTTAATTTATTTCACGGGGAAAAAAGAACAAAGGGAAGTCGTAAGAAATTAGCCCAAAATTACTAGTGGGTTTTCTCTGAAAAATTCAATTGTTACAATGAACCACAAGAAAATCGTATGAATTGCACTCGAAATCATAAACACCAGTAGTACCAAACTGAAACCAGGATGAATCAATCAAATAGGCTTGACAAGACAATATTCACTGGCATCACAACTTCGTTTCATACTAATCTAGTAATACAAAACTCCCCAAACCACTGTAAATTAAGAACAATAAAATAGTATAACATGAAAAAAGGGAAAGAGGTAGAATCAAGTTACCGTGAGGAGGTCGTTCATCTTGATCAAATTCCTTCAGAGAGAGAGAGAGAGAGAAAAGTGATGTGGGTTTTGAAAAGGGGAGCTTCAGGAAATGGAGGTTTACAGTCTTAGATTGATTTACGTATATTTTATGTATGTAATTGTTGGGCCGGCGACGAGGGCAAATAGGAAAAAGACGAGAAACAGACAGCTCGTCGGGCGTTACTTTCCTAATTTATTTACTACAAAATAACAATCAGGAACAGTTGTTCCATTAAAATTAGGTAAATGCTTTACTCTAATTGCATGTCACCTCCTTGTGGATTAAAAATAACACATAAACCTCTTCTAGTTATTGGGATAAAATGTGCCGTTACATTTTTTTTGTTTAATTTAACTGATGGTGTGAATGAAGCGCCATCCCAGAGATTGGACATGAAGAAGGCAAATTGTAAAGATTAAAACATATCTCCAAAGAGTAATTCAACTGATAATAGAAATAAATGGTAAATAAAGGCGTTTTGATTTCGAATCTTAATAATTCCATAGAATCAAGTCATGTAGAATTTATTTTTTATGAATATCATAATATTTAAAATGACCCAAATCTCAATGCGCTTAAAATGATCCAAATACCATTTTTAGTTGAAATTAAAAACAATAACCAAAACACTCTCCCCTTCACATATCTCCTCTCTCCTCTCTCCCATCAATAGCCAGAACCTACACTGGATCCAACTCTTGCTTTTGACCGCCACTCCACCTCTTGCTTTTGACCACCAACGGTCACCATCTCTCTCTCTCTCTCTCTCAGCCACAAGTACTATTGATGATGCACAAATTAGATTTATACATCACCTGTTAAATATGAATAATAAATATAATAATTAAAGTAGAGAGAAGACGAGAATTATAATGGTTCAGTTAAAGTGACATACGTCCACTTTTAAATGGCTAGGGTCGCTGAGTATTTTATTAATTCAAATGTACAAGAAAAGCAGAGAGCAACAAGCTGTGAGGGAAAGGAGAGAGTTGTGCTAAACAAAATGTGATATGTTCCTCAAATGTTGATGGGGCTTACAATTTTATAGTCGTCTCATAATGAATAGTAATTGAATGGTTAGTCTGGCGGTCATAACAGATTGAGGTGATTTAATAGTACTTAAATAGCTGATCCGGAGGAGGTGATTTAATAGTTACAATACTCTCCATAGGACTCGGTCAAAAGATGAGGTGAGAGTTGACTTCTTCTAGGGCAGATTGGATGAGGCTTTTGGGATGACCCTTACTCCAAGGTGGCTAGGAGGAGGCTCTTGGATGACCTTGCATACTCCTTACTGATGTAACTCTTTGATTCTTGATGAGTTTGTCTGAATTGACCACATTGAGTTGGACTTGCTGGATCTCTTGGAGATGGACTGTAAATTCGGACAGGGCTTATAATTTGAGTTAGGCCCTTGGGTTTGACCCATTAACTACCACCTCACCACCTCTTTCAATTGATATCCCATTTTCTCAGGTCTCTTTATTTTTTTTATTTTTCAATTTATTGGTTGTCGAATCTGTGATGGTCGAATTATTTTAATTGGGAATGGAGATGGCAATGATGGCTAGTTGAATTTGGGGACAGAGGTTAAAATGATGGGTGGTGATTATTGAAATAGTGGCCTTGTTGTGTAGTTGTCGGTTTACCATTATAATTTTTTGGTGTAATTATACATTGGTGGTAGGGGTGCAACTTGACCAAGTTGAGAGATTAATTCTAATCCAAGAGATTAATTCTAATCCAACAATAAGTATAAAATTTTCAACCTTAACTCTAATATTACCTCAATTCAAGATACTCAACTCGAGTATTGCCCGAGTTAATTTCGGATAACTCGGGTTTTTTAATTCGAGCTCAACAAACCATAATCTTAAATTAGGTGTAAGTCTTTGCATAATGTTGGACTATTATATAGACTTACATAACCCACTAAGCTGAAACCCATCAAGATAACTTATTAAAGGTGTAAGGGCCTTTTTTTATATAAGAGAGAGGGGAGAGGTCATTTGAGTTGTCTATCCGATATGAGATGATAACTCCTTATCTTTCTTTTGTCTTTTTTACTTACCCTACATAGGTTGTGTAAATTTCTTTCTTTATAAATTATGTTTCACTCCCCTTTTAAATAAAAATAATTGAAAAATATGTATTTNTATACATCACCTGTTAAATATGAATAATAAATATAATAATTAAAGTAGAGAGAAGACGAGAATTATAATGGTTCAGTTAAAGTGACATACGTCCACTTTTAAATGGCTAGGGTCGCTGAGTATTTTATTAATTCAAATGTACAAGAAAAGCAGAGAGCAACAAGCTGTGAGGGAAAGGAGAGAGTTGTGCTAAACAAAATGTGATATGTTCCTCAAATGTTGATGGGGCTTACAATTTTATAGTCGTCTCATAATGAATAGTAATTGAATGGTTAGTCTGGCGGTCATAACAGATTGAGGTGATTTAATAGTACTTAAATAGCTGATCCGGAGGAGGTGATTTAATAGTTACAATACTCTCCATAGGACTCGGTCAAAAGATGAGGTGAGAGTTGACTTCTTCTAGGGCAGATTGGATGAGGCTTTTGGGATGACCCTTACTCCAAGGTGGCTAGGAGGAGGCTCTTGGATGACCTTGCATACTCCTTACTGATGTAACTCTTTGATTCTTGATGAGTTTGTCTGAATTGACCACATTGAGTTGGACTTGCTGGATCTCTTGGAGATGGACTGTAAATTCGGACAGGGCTTATAATTTGAGTTAGGCCCTTGGGTTTGACCCATTAACTACCACCTCACCACCTCTTTCAATTGATATCCCATTTTCTCAGGTCTCTTTATTTTTTTTATTTTTCAATTTATTGGTTGTCGAATCTGTGATGGTCGAATTATTTTAATTGGGAATGGAGATGGCAATGATGGCTAGTTGAATTTGGGGACAGAGGTTAAAATGATGGGTGGTGATTATTGAAATAGTGGCCTTGTTGTGTAGTTGTCGGTTTACCATTATAATTTTTTGGTGTAATTATACATTGGTGGTAGGGGTGCAACTTGACCAAGTTGAGAGATTAATTCTAATCCAAGAGATTAATTCTAATCCAACAATAAGTATAAAATTTTCAACCTTAACTCTAATATTACCTCAATTCAAGATACTCAACTCGAGTATTGCCCGAGTTAATTTCGGATAACTCGGGTTTTTTAATTCGAGCTCAACAAACCATAATCTTAAATTAGGTGTAAGTCTTTGCATAATGTTGGACTATTATATAGACTTACATAACCCACTAAGCTGAAACCCATCAAGATAACTTATTAAAGGTGTAAGGGCCTTTTTTTATATAAGAGAGAGGGGAGAGGTCATTTGAGTTGTCTATCCGATATGAGATGATAACTCCTTATCTTTCTTTTGTCTTTTTTACTTACCCTACATAGGTTGTGTAAATTTCTTTCTTTATAAATTATGTTTCACTCCCCTTTTAAATAAAAATAATTGAAAAATATGTATTTATATTTTATTTTTATATTGTTTATATAAATATAATACATGAATTCGATTTGAATTTGGGTGGAGCCTAATTTCATCAATTCGGGTTAGGTTTGGATTAAACCCATTAACTCGAGCTCTTTACCCTTGACTCTAACACTAGTTTTTTTGAATTGGGTTCAAGTTGAATTCGAGTTGGCCCACTCAAATTGCACCCTTAATAGATAATGGCTTGACTTTGTGGAATGGAGGGGGTGGTCGGTTAGATCGAAAAAGAAGAATCGGGTGGAATTATTAGAGAAGAAGAACAGTGGGCTATCATGGTCATTTTAACCTTGCCTCTAACGGAGTTAGTTAGTGCATTTTAGTTCCATAAGTATGGGAGGGTTGTGTTGTTATTTTTAATCCACAAGGAGGTGTTGTATAATTGGAGTAAACCACGAAGGGGTAAAATAAATTTTTTTCTTAAAATTATACAAGGTTGGGATTCCATTTAATGCACTTATTTATTTATTTGTGCTATTAAAAAGTTAGAGGGATCAGATGTGGAAGGGTGTGAACATAACAACCCTTACTAGCTAAGGAAGTCTTCTAGAGGAGCTTAGACTCGGGGAAAAATTATAGCCACTCACGAAGAACAATTTGAACCATAGTCAGACCTTAACCTAATTAAATTGTCAGAAGCAATTTCATTATCTATAACCCATTAATTGAACTTGGGACATAATCCTTGTAGGCATGCAGGACTCCATTCAACTTTGCTATTGCCGACCGGCAGTTACAAAGGACCAAAGCCATGTGGGTCACACTTAAGGAGGCAAAAGTGGAAGCCTCTAGTTCAACCAAGTGCTCATGAGGACACTTTACTTTACTAGTGTCGCTCGGTGCCTACCTAGGAGAGCCACCGCCATTCGGCAGCCTCTTGGGCGAGGGCCTGTCGGCCGGCACTAGTCTACGAAGGGTCCTTTACACAAGCCTACTTGCAATCACTAATCCTCAACTACTCAGCTATCTCCTTATTTCCTTAGTTTCTACGAGCTCTCTTGTCCACTTTCGCTAGGAGACTCCTACTCAGCTAAGGACCAACCAAGGACTTAGAATCTTAGTCCAATTCTACTTTGAATATCTAGAGGTTGAAGGCACTAAGGAGCAAGAGTCTTAGTAAAATGCAACTACAAACAACCAGGATATAATGATAAGGACCTAGAAGCAAATGTCCTAGTCTAGCTCTGTTGGCCAACACGAATCCACGAAGGGTCCTTACACGAGCCTACTTGTAACCACTAATCCTCAACTACTCAGCTATCTGCTAGCTATCTTAGTTTGTATGAACTCCCTTGTCCACTTTCGCTAGGAGACTCCTACTCAACTAAGGACCAACCAAGAACTTAGAGTCCTAGTCTAATTCTACTCCGAATATCTAGGGGTTGGTGATAAGGGACTAAGGAGAAAGAGTCCTAGTTAATGCTACTACGAACAACCAAGATATAATGACAATAAGGACCTAGAAGCAAGTGTCCTGGTCTAGCTCTACCTTGAATATCTAGGAGCTAGTGATGAAGTCTATCCTATCACAACCAAGAGTTCAAGTCCCTTTGGAACATAACTTCCCACCACTATAAATAAAAGCCCCTGGGAACTAGGTAGGGGATTGAATCTTAGCCTATTCACTCAATACTTCTCTTTGAATTGTGA